CTGCTTCACGTCCTCAGTCTTCCCGTTTGTCTGATACGCAATACATTCCCATCAAGGTGAGCAATAAAAATTGGAAGGGAATTCAATTAAGTTCCTTGTTCTATCAAAAATGAGTAGCTTTTTGTCATCACTTGACGAATAAGTACAAAAATGAAATGGTGCTGCGCCACTGATCCAGGAAATTACCACGGTTTTCTGTAATAAGCGTCACACGCGTGCGTCAACGCATTTCTTTTGTTTTATTTTCTGTTCAGAATGAAGCCGAAGAAGTGGTATCTTCTACAACAGCATCAGTCGACACTCCTCATTCCACTGGCTTACGTCCTTTAGCAGCACGCCCATCGTCCTCGCAAACGAACCGCGATCTCGCAAAAGTTGTCGGTCAGGTATGGTCTATTTGCTGCAATAACTCAGTATTTCTGTGAAGCCAATATTTGTGTTCAAGATTCGCCCTAAGCTCAACCCTGAAGAAAGAGCAGAGTCAGGATCACCGGCTCCCTCTTCGAGCTCATTACCGCAAACAACGGCTGCAGCGACTCCCATTGCCTCTAACCAACAACGTTCACACGATGTTCTACTGTTATCCAAAGATGAAATACCGCTTAAGGAGAGATTGAGTGAGTAACTGTTGATGATCGGCCTTGATCGAGTTTTTCGTGTTATGGAAACTCTCTTGTTGGCATTCTCTTGAGAAAAAAAAATCAACTAATTTTAGTGACCATATTTGTCAACTATTCATGCCGGATTGGTCCACATCTTGATCCTGCCATGGTAAGTGTCGTTCACGGTTTTCTTTCACGGGTTCAATGGTTTTGAACTAGTCCTCTCGGATGCTATCTTAATCGAAGGGTTTCTTTTTTTAAACGTACATTCTTGAAGGTCGCTGGAATTCGCCGTAAATTCGGACCTTTCGCTACACATCACGCTCTTCGGGAAGCTGTCCAACAACTACTGAATTGCTCGAAAGACGATGCCATAACATTGAATCTTGTACAGCCAGCTGCTGTCACACAGATCTTGTCTGTCACTGGTAGGCTTTGGTATTACTTATATCTATCATAATTACCATGAATGAATTCATATTTTCTTCTGAATAATTTACGTATTGGTAGTACTTTCTATTCACTAACTTGACTACATTTTTTACTCTTCCTGACTTCCTTCGTTAATGATAGATTAACTTTGATTAGTGTGAAAAGTCGTAACTTCGATTAGTCTAAAAAGTCGTAAATGCCTCCTTTCAGCTCACTGTGGTGGCACTCCTCGATCACGCTTTATTCCGTGTGTGAAGAGCTCAGCGGATGCGTGGAATTATCTGAAACAGCTTTTACGAAAGGTTAGATTTCAACTGTCATTTTGAGTTCGTTGTTAATTTATCAAGAGCATAATATTTAATTACCCATTATGTTGTCTTTCAGTTGAAAATCTGTGAGAATTTCTATTCAAGCACCGGCGAACCATGTGCTAGTTGTGCTCCTGCGAATGACGTGAGCGTAGAACAGAGTGAGTTTGGTTGAAATTCATTTTCACATTCATTTGTCACGTTTCATTACATTTTCTTTGAGAAGCTTTTGAATATTTTTATCAGCATCAGCTTTGTGCATTTGTGGTTACCTGACTGTCGGTTCAAGCCATTTTGACAACTTTTTTAATTATGTATCTCTATCAACACTGAGAACGCATCATAGAACTAACTAAGGCACTGTAGTTGCCGTCAGTAAGGAATCTGTAAGTGGGCACTTCCCGGGTATTTCTCGCAGCTGTTTTACCTTGATACGTAGGGTCTGTTAAATGCACGCTGTTAGTGGCCAATGTACAGCACGGGTTTCTTTGCTATGGCTTCTGTTAGAGGCTGTTGTTAGAGCTGGCTTATGAACGTTAAAGAAGGTCTTATTGGTCTTTAGAGAGAATGTAAAAGGTAGACATAAGGCCTCTATGAAGAAGAATAATCCTAATTCCTTCAGCTAAACCGGCTCTAATAAACTTGATATCTAGATTTACTCAGTTAATGATTGAGCACTGTTCAGTAAAAAGTATTTGGCTTATGTAATGCTATTTCAGTTGTTGCCTTCTCGCCGCCGATGAAACAGTGGTCAATTGAGAAAGTGGCTAATGAGCTGAGCAAACTACTTGATGAGACGATTGTTTCCAAATTTGTTGAACAGGTATTAGACTGAACTTGTTATTCGGAACCGTTGGGTTCAAATGCCTTTACACTGTTTCGATGAATTTCTGAATGAAAAAAAACCTTCTCTAGCAAATTGATGGACGCTCCCTCGGATTGCTGACGACGGAACTGCTTATGAATTATATGGGTTTGGCACTTGGACCAGCGCTCAAAGTAGGTTTTTTCAATTAGTGGATAGATTTGTTTTGTTTTATTGTTGAAGCTGATTCTGCTTTTTATGGGCTTTAAGTTTTTGCATGCTCTCATCTATAATTCTATTTTCCTATAAATTTATCTCGGTAGTAGTTGTAGAGATGTAGATTACGGTAATGACTAGGCTGTGAGAGGAGGTGGCATCATTACGTTTCTTTATAAACATCTATCCCAACGGTTGAGCATACAATCGTGAATGAGTTTTGTTGCCTAAGAAAACTTAGCTTTGCTGCCGCTTTATTCGTTTCGTATTTAGGTTAGCCCGCTTCAAAAATAATTTATTTCGTCCGAAGGTTGAAGATTATGTTAATGATTGGGTTGTGCGATGATATAGCATTGTAATTGTTCTATCTCAATGTCCAAATATGGCGCAGCTTTAATGCAGCGCGGACTTTCAAGTATTATCCTCACATTTATCGCAGTATTGTTGACTTGCTATTTATTTACCGGTGGATTACTGATTTGAATGAGATGTTTTTCAAAAAAAGGAAGGGCTTCATTTGGTCGGGGTTTCATTCCTACTTTATTGTAAATGTGTTAAACGTATTGGATATTGTGATGAATACATTTTTCCGCGCTTTAATTCATAGAAGAATTCATTGTGCATCCAACGAGGGCTGCTTATGTCAGTTACCCAATTTACGCTTACCAGGAAGGTCTTTCAGGGCGTGCCAAGCTTTTTGAAAACGGTCTTTTGCATGATATAGGGGCACATGCGGGAACCACAGAACCATGGTTAATTTTTCCTGAACGGCCCTCTGAATACCAGAAAAGGGGGTCCCTAGTTCGATTCCTCGTGGTGACAAATTTTTGCATTTCGAGTTGACGTTTCAAAATTCGCGCAAAATGGAGTTAGCATGAATAATTAGTACCATATTCATGATTAGGACCGTCAGTAACCCTTAAAAATAGACTTTGATTGAAAATAGACTGATGAAAAAACTGTGAACAGGTTGTGAGACAAAAACGGCCCACTTTGGTGTCACAACTTTTTCACCAGTTTTTCAATCAAAGTCTATTTGTAAGGGTTACTGACGGTCCTAATCATGAATATGGTACTAATTATTCATGCTAACTCCATTTTGCGCGAATTTTGGAAACGTCAACTCGAAATGCAAAAATTTGTCACCACGAGGAATCGAACTAGGGACCCCTTTTCTGGTATTCAGAGGGCCGTTCAGGAAAAATTAACCATGGTTCTGTGGTTCCCGCATGTGCCCCTATATCATGCAAAAGACCGTTTTCAAAAAGCTTGGCACGCCCTGAAAGACCTTCCTGGTTAGTTAAGGAAATGGTAAGCTG